TTCAAAACCTGCTAGTCATTGTTATTTGTTTCCAGTTCTTGTGGGCATTTGTTTGGCTCTTATGTTTTTGGAGAAGCAGACTGTGAATGCCTGTTATCTGTGCACAACATGCAGGATAAATGCAAATACTTAGTGGTGTTCCAAGTATGACACTTTGATTTTGCAGATGGGAAGCAGAGGAATACTACCCAAGTTACTAAGCCATCTAAATGTAAGGCTGAATGACCTGTAACAGAACAATAGGTGGTGAAGAAATAGTGACAAAAACCAAACCAGAATAAAAAATACACATTAAACTAGAAAAAGGTGAAATGTGAAATCTATCCCTATTCTATAAACACATGTGGAAAGAATAACACCTAGCATTTTTTATTCTTGGCTTCCCCCACCACCTCTTTTACATTCCAGGAGAAGATCTGCCAACTTCTGGCCATATCTATTTCTCCTCTGTTGTTTGCCAGTATTAGTGCACTCTAGCACACATTCTTTCCTAAGGCTTCTAAAACGAGCCATTTGTTAGGTCCAATTGTTTAAAGGACCCAGGCACCCTTCCCTCCTCTGCTTGGAGCAAGCTGGGTGGTTCACAGGCATGCACATCCCTCGGCTGACGCGCTTGGGTTTGCCTGGGACCTCTGCTGGAAAGGCTCCTGAACCAGACTCTGCAGCGCGTGCCTTGTGTCACTGGAGAGCTGAAGACCTCTCACCAATACGTCCAAATTCTTCTTAGGCTCCCTTTGCCCCAAAGGACACACTGAGGCAAACATACCTGTGCTTTGCTTATTGAAGCTGCTCGTGCAGGCCTCCAGGACTTCTGTACTGTAAAGAATTTCAAAAGTCTTAGATCTGGATCTGCTTAGCATTACATATATAAACAGAGGGTGAATTCACTTCTACACTACAGTTTAGCACAGTTTTAACATTTGAGTTGGACTCTAAGGCTCTAAACAAAGGGCTGAGTTTTTACCAAGAGAGATTAATTAACATAAGTAAAAAATAAAATATTGAGTATGTTAGGGTGTACAGTACTCTCTCTTTGCACATAATAATGTGAGAAGGGGGTAAGATTCAAATCTGATGTAAAATGTGTCAAGACAACATTGCCAAAGCTGCATCCAATTCAAACACATTTTAGTCTATCCCTGGAGAAGAAAGAAATATAAATCTCAGTCAGCTTGATTCCAAGTACACTGATTTGAATGTCAGCTTTGTATATAACAGCAGCCCTTCTGTTGGAATTTCTTTCAAAGATAAAAAATAAAAACTATCTTACCAAGAGCTATTTTTTGTGTCCTGCTTTCTCTCCCTCCCTCCCTCCCCCAATCCCTCCCCTCTCTTTCTCTCTCTCTCTCTTCCCTTGCCATTTTTTCTTCTCATGGAGAGGAAGCTTGCAAGTACCTGCTGAGTTGTTTGCCTGATGTCATCCCATGATCAGTGGAGTGAGGACCAGAACCAAGAGCTCCTGAGTGCCCACAGCCACTCTCTAAGGTAGCAGTATCCTCACCCACACAGCCCTGCATTTGCATTTTGAGGGAACATTATAGGGGATGCAGAAGAAGAGTAGTGAACCACTGGCTGGATAAGACTTTAGGTTTGGTTTATTTTTACATTCAGCCACAAGGCAAGATTCAGATCCAGCTGCCTCAGCATTTGTTAGTGTTCAGCTCTGGGGTCAAGGTTGCCTCTCTATTATGAAAGCAGAGTGTGTTTTGATGTACTTCCTACAATTCATCCAGATTATTAGGTATGAGAAAAGAATTATTATGATTACAACATATAACAAGCAGTAAAGGGTGTTTTGTTATATATATATGTCTGCTGAAGGTGGTGTTTAGCACATTTCTGTGTTTAGGCCAACAAAACTCTCTTAGAGGTAAAAAACAATTGTACAGTGATTAAAGACATTGGCAACTCCCAAAAAAATGGACAGTTAATACCATGTTTAAGCTCTCATTTAAGAGATTTTGCAGAGAAGAGTGTTACTTAAAACTAACTGCTGTTGACCACTGAAGAAATGAAGAAAGATACCATAATCTTATGCAATCCCAGTTTTGGTCTGTTCCCTTGACCTGGATTAACCTTTTTCCTTTTATCTGTATTTTAATTCCAAACACCTCGCTTAAATGCAACTGTATCCAGATCTCTGCTAAAAGCTTTAATGAGCAACACTGAGGTCAGCAGAAATGTTTGAACTTTATTATTATTTCATACAAATGCTGTAGGGATCCCTGAATCTCCCACAGTTATTAGTTATTTTGGTCTCCAGTGAGATGTTCGGCATCTGGCTGTATTAGTTTATTGATTTCCTTTTTTAAATGGTTGTCTTTCAAGAGCCATTTAAAATACTTATTAACTTACTTACAGGCACACACACTGAACAAAGGCTGCACAGAAGCAGGTCCAATTTTCTTTTTTAAAGAAGAAAACAGCAAAATGGTCTTTATAATTTTAGTGTAAATATTTCTATTTCTTTCTTTAGTGAAGAAATGATAAATTTACACGTAGCACACTTTCACTACTTTTACTACATTATGGTTAAGTGTTCTTAATAGACTCATGAAATATCAACTGTGCATTCTTTCAATTTATTACATCACAATCAAATGTATTATTTTGTGCAATCAATATTAACAAAGATCATGTCCATTTAAGTGTGCACACTGTTTTCTAGACTGAATGTAGCACATAACACTTGTTGTCTTTAATCAATAGAGATCCCAAAGCAGCTAATTGTTTTATAAATTATTGAGTATTCTTTTCATTTTCTGCATCCCACTAATACCTTGGGAACTTATTACTGGACCAGGATTCCAGCTGTTCTGTTTCCAGCATCTGCTCACTTAAAAGTGAGCAATTTCCTTACATGGTGTCTTTTGACTTTCTTTTATAACCAATCCAATTGGTTTGGATAAAGACCACATGGGTGAAGTCAATATTGCAACATAGACTGAAAACTGGCTGTCAGACAAGATCCCAAAATCCACAGTGAGCATACAGTGAGGGCCAGGCTGATAGGGACAGATTAGGGGTAACATGGACAAGACTGCCTGTGAACTGAAGCTCCAGCAATGTATATGGTATAAAACTGGGTACTTGGAAAGGTAACAGTGTATGCAGCAGTGAGTGTGAGCAAAAACAGTTCCAGGACTCAGATGTTCTTAAAATTATTCTTGGAGAGTATCCTAACTTCTTACCTGGAAAACAGACAGCTGCCAAACAACAGGGTCTTGATCTGTGCAGTGTAGATATTCCTTCTGGGCTTTGGCCTAGCTTCAGATTGCACCTCAAAGAATAGAAGAGCCACAACCATCCTCTCCAAAGAGAAAGTGGGCAAGGAAAAGACATTTTGGTTACAACACCTACAAGTGTTAACCTTGAGGAGGAAGAGGAGACAGTGGCCACAGACCCACTATAAAAGGACTTCTGCATCTTTATACATGATTATTACAGCAGTTGTCTCAAAAGTCAAGTTCCAAAGTCTTGGAGTTGCAGGGTATTAAGGATCCCTAGGTCTGGTTAGAAGGAACTAAGGCTTTCCATGGATCTGAACCTAGTCCACCTCAGTACTGAGGAGTGTCTGAAAATTAATCCCATGATGAATGGTCTTCACAAAGTTAGCTGGTTCTGGTCCACATCAAAACTGGCATTAAACAGCAGTCTCAATAAAAGATCAGAGAAACATAAGCCAAATTAGGCTATCATCCTTGCAGATTGTGTTTGGGGTGCATTCCTGGGCTCTGGGGGAGGCTTCTAATGCCACTAATTTCTTTCCTTTTTACATGCACAGAGATAAAGATGGCCAGTTATCAGAGAGTGAAGCAATAACACCAAGTGTGTCCTGAAGACTAATGGAACTCTGTAGGCATCACCCTGAAGTAACATAAGATAAAATTACTCTCAATATGACAAAAACACTATATGTATTGAGAAGGTATATGCTTCCCCTAATTAATCCCATTCTGAATAACTTTCCACAAAAATATAGATTTTTTTTTTTTTTTTTTTTTT